TAGTTTTGAGATTGTGTTTATAGTTGTGAGAAAATGGTGAATTGTTTCATGAATTGTGTGTTAGCAATCAAGAAAAACTGTAATATGCCGGAATTTTATGTATTGATTTTTTTCACAGGAGTTTTTATCCATATTTTGAATTACACATTACATTACGTTGTGTTTTAGGATTGAAGGAAATACACAATCCACAATCTTAATGGAAAAGGTAGTACTGGTTATTTTTTCGGAAAAAATATATATATATTATTTACTGCCACATGGAGTATGTATGGCCAAAAATGTGAAAGGGGTCATTCAAGGTGCATTCAGGGTGCATTCAAGACTCGCAAGTAAACACCCACTGCTATGATTGGCTAACAGTTTCGCTTATTAAAATAACAGATGGACACTGCTGTGATGTACTCTGAAAACAACATGGGTTATTTGGGTTAAAAACTTATAAATACTCAGTAGGCTATATATCAAATGGTCTGGAACAGACAATGCAATAGTGGTAAAAACAATTTTACTCACACTTATGTGTTGCGACATTACTGTTGGATCCACTCTAGTCAGACTCAGCGCTGCATCATCGTTTACTTTCAGTCTCTCTGAAAAGCCTGCATGATACGTTCTTCTTTAAAAATGAATCCGTAGCAAAGTAAAGCAAACAAACAAACAGTGTTTCACTGACGCGATCTGGAGCTCTTAGCTCATTTTTCCCCGTGTTTACACCGGACGCTTCTCTAGACAACAGAACCCATTATAATCGGCGATTCTGTCCACACTGGATGCGGCGTGGATTGACACAACAAATCCCTGACAGTCAGTGTTGGGAACGTTTCTTTTAAAAGGAATGCATTACAATATTGTGTAACTGCATAAAAAAGTAACTAATTACGTTACTTAGTTACTTTTTATGGAAAGTAATGAGTTAAGTTACTTTTGCATTACTTTTTCTAGTCGGGGCTGGGCTTGCTTGTTTGTTTTTAATATAAAAAAGTTGTATTTTTGGCAAATGTGATCACTGAAGGTCAGCAGCAAAGACATTGGTTAATAAAATTGCATTATATACATGAATGACAACATTCTAAACTAAAAAAAGTAATGCGTTACTTTACTAGTTACTTGCAAAAGTGATCTGATAGCATAACCTGCATTACCCGCAATACTGCCGACAGTAAACTGATGTCCCACTCTATTTCTAATAATAATAATAATAATTTGTATTTATATAGCGCCTTTCCAACACCCAAGGTCACTTTACAAGTCAGGTTTAAGGAACAGAAACAAATAAACATCAATACCAGAAGACAGAACACATACCAAGAGCTGAGAGTTATACAGAGACCACTTACAAAGTTAGATTAGAGATACAGAGAGAATGTAGATAAACATCCATAACAGGGTAAAAATTACAGACTGAGAACTGAAGAGTAATACTGAGAGAAAAAAAATTTGTTTTTAAGAGGTTTTTGAAGGAGAGAAGGGAGGATGCTTGACGGATGTCTTGAGGAAGAGCATTCCACAACCTGAGAGCCACAACACTGAAAGACCTGGCTCCCAGTCACCAGACTAAACTTAGGGGTGACTAACAATCCCACACAAAATCGTAAGAAGCAAACAGTAGCATAAGGCTGAAGTAAGTCAGATAAATATGCAGGACCAAGGTTATGGAGAACTTTGTAAGTGAGAATTAGTACCTTTATACGAGAATTTATAAGCAAGGAAACCGGAAACCAATGTGATAGAGGATTGGAGTAATGTGCTCATTCTTTTCTTGTATGAATGATCAAGCGGGCTGCAAAGTTTTGAACATATTGTAATCGTTTGATATTTTTAGCTGAAAGGCCATAAAGTAGTGAGTTACAGTAATCTAGCTGAGATATGACGAAGGCATGTATAACAGTTTCAGCATCCTGCTGTCTGAGAGAATTTTAATTTCTCATTTTTAATCCACATTACAGTTTGTTAAAATGAAATAAAATAAAAACAGAGATAGCTGGGGTGGATTTCCATTAAAAAAAAACAAAAAAAAAAACAGAACAAATAAGTTTGATAAGCAAATTAATCTAGTTGTTAAATGTTAAATACAAGTTTGACTAAGAATTCTGAAACAGCAATTCATGCTTTTATTTCTTTTAGACTAGATTAGAAAGATCTCATGATGATTTGATGCTCAAGAAACATTTCTTATTATTATTAAAGGGGTCATATGATGCGATTTCAAGTTTTCCTTTCTCTTTGGAGTGTTACAAGCTGATTGTGCATAGATAAGATCCCTGAAGTTGCAAAGACTAAAGTCTCAAAACCAAAGAGATATTCTTTATCAAAGTTAAGACTCTGCCACGCCCCCCTAAAACGCTGAAGCTGCGATTATGGTAAGGGGCATTACATTTCCGACACGTGCTTGTGGTGTTCGGCCAATCACAATGCACTGGGTCAGCTAGCAGACTGCGCTTGTCAAAGGAGGGGACTTTGTAGAAAACGAAGCGTTTGAGAGAGGCAGGGCATAGAGGACCTACAATAATGTACAGTATTTGAAAAATAATGTGTTTTTTGAACATTAAAGCATGTCAACATATTCTGTTACACCAAATACACAAAATAATGATCTTTAAAAAAAGCATCATATGACCCCTTTAATGTTGAAAACGACTGAACTGCTTAATATTTTGAAACTTTATGAATAGAAAGTAAAAAAAATTATTTGATTCTCATATATTTGAATTTTTGAAACACTATAAATGTCTTGACTGTAACCTCCAGCTTACCTAAGAGTGTGTTCTGCAGCCTCAACTTTACTGAGCCCTGCCTGATGTGGCTGGAAGAAGAGGCGGTTCATGTTGGCCAGCTCCACCTTATCATAGTCAAACAGCAGCAACTGCGGGGAAGAAAGCCAGACACAGCAAAAAGAGGCATGCCAGTCTGTTACTGCAGAGCCCAGGCATGTCTCTGGGGGTTATGCTATTGGCTTCCCTCCTGTACTCCCACTTGCAACACACACTACAAGAATAATGGGGCTTGAAGAATGCACCAATTTTAACTGAAAAACATTAAGGCGGCACACCATAGACCGGCCAGTCAGTGCATCCTTCCATTTGATTCATGCGTCCTATATATTAGATCTATAGGAATGAGGATAAAGGTGCATTACCTTACCAATGCCACATCTGGTGAGCATTTCTGCAGTGACACTCCCCACACCTCCAACTCCCACCACTGCCACAGCATACGAGCGGATTTTCTGAGAATGACAGCAGGTGATAGTGGTCATCTGAACACGAGCAAGCAGTTATCAATATAAAAGTCTCATAAAATAATAAATACACATGTTTACCTCGTAGTCCTGAACTATGCCCATCCTTTTGAGTGCCATTAGACGACTGTGAGATATTAAACACTAAATTAAAGTGACTATCGCACCGGGTTTAGCCTTCCATCATATGTTCAGTGATAATAAATAAACATAGCAGCATCAAATTGCTCACCTGTATGGATTTGAGTCTACGACTTCAGCACTCATTTTAACAATCTTTGGTCTGAGATGATGTTCAGCATCACTTTGCTTCTGTTTAGATTTAATTAGTTCATTTTCTAACTCACGGATTCGCAGCTTCAGTTCCTCAACGGTTGTCATTTTTTCCCTTAAAAATCCTATATTATAATAAACAAGAGTTGATATGATCCGATGAGAAAAATAAAGCACGCCAACTGTTAAAATTACTGTACACGTCTGCACTGTTAGAAATCAGCTGGCGAAGAGTGTGTCTAGATATTGAGCCCGGAGTGAAACACAAAGTTCACAGAAACGAAAGGTCCCTCAATGAATGATTCCCGCTAATCGGTTCGTTCTTTTAATTGAACTGGTTAAAAAAAAAAAAAAACTCACCACATGTAAACACATACTACTGTTTATTGCGTTTAGTTCGACCATTTTTCCCTCAATGAATGATTCCCGCTAATCGGTTCGTTCTTTTAATTGAACTGGTTAAAAAAAAAAACTCACCACATGTAAACACATACTACTGTTTATTGCGTTTAGTTCGACCATTTTACAAGTTGAATTTGTTAGAGCCATGACTCATTGCCGTTTAGAGCCTAAATACACTTTATATTTAACAATACTACAATTTCTTTACAATACTAAGTATTTTTGCATGTGAACAAATTAGTTTTGTGAGCCGGTTAAATCAATTAATTGAAAAGACTCGATTCAGAAGAACAACTCCCTTACGAATCGCACGTCGCTAGAATGAATATGTAGCAGAATAAAAAAAGATGTATTTGTATATTTTCTTTGTTTTGGAAAATAAATGTTTTCCTCTCACTTCCAAAAATACCTAGAGTAAAAATAATAGTTGGATTTAACCATAATTTCTTTCATTTATGACACTACACTCTTCCAGTCCGGTGGGTGGCGGTCATATATTTTAATATTTCTCGCATTTCGCCAAAGATGTCGACTGTGTCCGAAATCGCCCCCTATACCCTTCAATAGGGCACTATTTGAGGGAACCGCCATTTTTAGTGGTGTCCGAAACCATAGTGGACGTTCTCGAGCGCACTCATTCAATCCCACAATGCACTGCAAAAACGAGTGTACAACTGGTGCACGCTCAACGGCTAGAGAATGCCCATAATGCACCGTGAGAGTCACGCGCCGAATGAATTCCCGCATTTTGCCAGAAGATGGCGCCCGCAGCTGAATAATCAATCCGTTCATTTTTACAAAGCGCTCATCCATGGCGTACAGCATAATGTACAACACGGGTATAAATTCATTGTAAATTGATTATTAAATTGTTTGATTAGGGTTTATACATAATTTCCGTGACAGAGTTCAAGATGAATCCTTTAATCTTACTACTGGAGCTGCTAGTTTCAAATGATTAATAAACAGCCAGCACAAACTATGCAAAAGCGGCAGTCTTTCTGGTGCACTCAGTGTCCGAATTCACTCACTCGCTTTCATTCACTCCTTCAAGTGAACTGTATTAGTGGCCTAATGTAGGCAATAGTGAATGAGGGTATAGGGGGCGATTTCGGACAAAGCACAGTATGTAGAAAAGAGTATGCCAAAAGTCCCCGGATGGTTTACTATTTCAGGCCGATTTTTGAAGTGTGGATCCGCGCACACTCTAATGCAGGGGTGTCCAACCCTGCTCTCATGGGTAAAATTGCC